AAATTAAACATAATTTACTATTTTCTCAATGTTAAAAGTCACAGTTGGGATTAATCCTTTTGTGCATATCTGGAGGTAACTCTCAAATCACCTACAAAAAGAGGCAGTTCTACCTTTTGCCATTATATTGCAGCCCTTTTTTAATGATTCATGACAAAGAGCTTCAAAGAATTCCAAGCCATGACAACAGTCCCAGATCCAGCAGATCCGACCTCCTTGTTGTCATCTCAGTAAAAAATCCTCCTCGATGAGTAATTTAGGTTTAGGAAGAGAGCTGCCTTAAAACTATTCCCAAGGGAAGAAGCAGTGTCTAGAATTTAATCTGAATATGGAAATAAAAATAAAAAGAAAATATCAAAAGAATACAGCGACTGCAACAACAATACAAGCCTTATTTTGCAGAATCCATCCATTGTGAAACTCCGCGGAAGGGAACACAGCTGTTTTCCCTGAAATATGTTTCATGTTTCTAGAGACTAAAGATGAAATCCAAAGCTTTGCCTTTCAACTTATTATAGACAAATACAAGCAAGGATGACACAACTACTGTTCAGGACTATTGAAGAAAGAAAAAGGTCATTTAGAGCTGGAGGTGAAAACATGGGCTTGACCACAGGCTGCAACACATCCTCCACTCCATCCAGCACGGCAGGAGCAGGCTTGCAACAGCCTCCCAAAAACTGAGGCAATTCACTCCTGACTTCAAGCTTGGAATCAAGTTTTATATTTCCTCTGTTGCAAGGGCTGAGGGCCCACACAGAATGGTTACAACACCAAAAAGGCATAACAAAGGAAGTGCAGCACCCAGAAAAAAAAAAAAAATATGATGTGCATCACATCTGTACACCTCCACCTTAATGCTGAAATTTCTAGTGAGCATTAAAGTCTAATTCCTCCTCCAAATTCTGACACCATATGCAGGGATTTTTGTCACTTCACTTCTAATGTTTAATCTTCTCCTTGACAAGGTGATAGGGATATTCTTAGACATTAAACTCAGATGAGCCATTCACAGTTTGCCTCAACAGCAATAAACATCTTCAGTTTCATGGCCAGTTTTCAAAGATTTCTCACCATGACGAGCACCTTCATCTTCCCTCTATGAAACACTATGATATTTGGAAGGACAGTTAATCCAAATCATAGATTGCCCTGTGCTTGAAATAATCAGCATATCCAAAGCTAAATACTGAAATATTTCTAATAACGGGGATGACTGTAATAGTGTATATCCTGGTCCCTGGGATGCAGGTGAACACCTAAAGGACACTGTGTGCTGGCTTAGGAAGTTGTGTACATTCACAGGAGGAGGAAAAGCCTCACCTGAGGTCAAGTCAGGGCATGGACCCCACTCAATCTTGTTTGAGCATGAAGACACAAACATCCTTGCCCTGGCAGATTTTAACAGCTCTTCTGGAGCCCTCCCATTTTCCCACCACAACCATTTATTTTGGGAGTGAACTGCCCCATTCCAGTAGCTTCCCCTTCAAAGGGCAATGTGCATTTGGGGGTTGTCCCCATGTCTACAAGCACTAATATTTTGCTCCAGCTCAGCTACACATTGCGCTCAGCAATGTATGATTTCAGCTTCCAGGTGGACAAAAATGGTGAGGATTGTGCTTCAAATGGTAGTCTCTTTGCTAAAACTCTTCCTTCCTTTTCAGGAGGAGACAAATCCATGCCCTCCATGTCGCAAATCACCCTCCCAGGGTGCAAATCACCTCTGGTCCCTCTGGGTCTCACCCTCAGAGGCAAAACCAGGCTTCAGCCTTGGTTTTCTACAGAGCCTTATGCTGTGGCAGAGACCTGAAGAGATGAGAGGATGAGATGAAATGAGAGTGCTTTCAGCAGTAACAATGCCCCTGTAATTAGCCAGACAGAGCAGGTGACACGCTCTGTGCACAGGTACAGTGATGCTCCCCTGAGGACACACGGCTCTCTGAGCATGTCCCATCTGCAGAGCCAAGGACAACAGCAGGACTCTGGTGACTGTGTCTGCTCTGAAACACTTCTTTTGTGTGGTGCAAAACCTACACCCTGATCAAATACTCTGCAACTGGGTGGCTTTGTGAGGTCTGAAAGGGATGCTTCAGCTTCTTGCCCTGTGTTCACCTGGCCAGCCCTCCACAGCCTGTGGAGCACTGGCTGCTCATCAAAGCACATTTGCGGGGCTTAGCAGATCTGCTGGAGATACCCCAGGCACACCAGTATATTCTGAGCAAGTCAGCATTTGATTGCTTACAAAGAAAATGTATCTGAACTATCGGAGTTTCTTTTGGGGCAGGACTGTGGTGAATTCCATATGTTTCTTTTTTCTCAAATCATTTGCTCAAACTTCTTCTGTGACTGTCATTTTAAGAAAGAGCAGGTGTCAGGGAGAGCTGTACATGGTCACCAAAATCTGTCACACCAGGCAAGAGGCAGCTTTGAGCTCTCAGGAATAATTACTGTCAAAAAGAGTGCCTGGCATAAAGACACTGAACTGCTCGGGCACACAGTGAGAGTCACCATATGTGTACACACACCTCAAACACATCCATTTCTACATGAAATTTGGAACTAAAGCAGCAATTTGCTTACTCCATGCTTAACAGACTTGGCTCTTTCAGCATGAAAAGAGTCATACAAGAAGATGGGATTCACTTTTGGAAAGCATGAGAATTTCCTTTAATTTTTCTCCAGCCTGTACATGAGTTCCCTGGTTTGGGGAAAAGTTCAAATTGCTGTCAGCTAAAGCTGCACCCAAATTCTTATTAGCAAAGGAGGAGGGGAAAAAGGTTTTTCCTTACCACAATTCTCCCTGAGGCTGTTCCTGCACACAGTGCAGAGAAAGCTGTAAGGAGGGAATTACCCCTAAAACGCAGCAAGGAAGAATTACAGCTCTGGACGTTCATACTTGTCAGCCATTTCTCCCCGATGCCCAATAGGCATCTTCACCACCAGCTGACAGTAATTCTGAATAAAGACTTTTGTACTTTCCTTGGGGTTTTGGGGGTTTTTTTGTGTAAGAAATTGGAAATTTATTTCAAAGGTTTGAACTGAGACCTTCCATACCTCAGCTGCCTGTTTTCATCCCAGGCTCTGAAACAAGCCTCTCTCTTGAGTCCTGTTGGCTTTTAGCAACACAGCCCACAAACCATTCCTAGCAGGGTGCAATGAGAACGGCTGGAGCTGGTTTAGAGCTGCGCTGCAAAAATACCGAAAGCACACCAGAAGCTGTATCATACCTCAGCCCTCCACCCCATTGCACCAGCAGCAGCCTCACAACCCCAAAACAAGCCTTTCACCGCAAAAGCTCCGTGCCACGTCAGCCAGTGCCCCCAGCCTTGTCCCTGACGTGCAGAAAACAGCTTGTCCCTGGTGCACAGCCCCCGGTGCTCCCCCATGGCAGGCAGGGAGAGGCAAGGCAGGGCAGAGCAGGGAGGGAAGTGGGGCAGGACAATGTTGGCAGGGCAGAGCGGACAGTGCGGGCAGGGCAGAGCAGGCAGGGCAGAGCAGGCAGAGCAGAGCAGTGCGGGCAGGGCAGAGCAGGCAGGGCAGGCAGAGCAGGGCAGAGCAGAGCAGGCAGGGCAGAGCAGA